CCACCGTACCGAACTTGCAACTAGAAATCCGCGGGTAATAGGTCCCCGATTCTACGAACATCTACCCACAGACCTGAAAAGTGTTAGAAACGATGAAACGTTTTGTACCCGACTAAAAATCCTTTTATTGGATATTGAATTGTACAGTGTCGATGAGTTTCTTTTGAAACAATTTTAATTTTATTTTATTCGACAAGCAGTAGTTATACTACTTTATTTTATATTCATTATTATTATTATTATTATTATTTTGTTACTGACGATCATAGTTATCCCTTGACATTGTACTTCCAATTGTAATATTGTGACATTGATAACATGAAATAAACGATTCTATTCTATTCTATTCAATAATGGTATAATCTTGAATATCACATATTTGAGTTTTAACACTATGTTAATAGCAATGCGATATGTACGCCGAGGTCAACTTGGCCAACGTTCCAATGGTCTGCCAGACGACCACCCAAATAACCTGATCCCGAATTAGTGAATTCCGTGTACTACAAGGAACACCCGAATTAGAATCAATATGGAAAAGCTTGTTTCCTAAATTGGTCAAATCGAGAATCGAACTGGAGACCTGCACACATAACAGCTACTGTGGTGACCGCTAGACCATCAGGGCCGTCAAATAGAAGCATAATACTACAAACAAAACACCAATATCACAGAATACAGAAATAGATTTTAAATGACGCATTAAAAAAAGATGAATCATTAATATTGTCAGAGGTTACGAAATACAATTAAGGAGGCATGTATCTCCTCATATTTTCTTAGGAACAATTGTTTTTGAATATCATAGAAAATAACTGATGGATTAGTCCTACACAAAGCATTTCCATAACCAGAATGTCCAAAGTTCAGGCAGAACCACAAGAAAAAAACATTACTATTTTATAAATCACACGATATAAATTCCACATACCTTAAAAATTATAAACAGAATGACCTAGTCCACTACGGAAACAAGTTTTATTGTTTAATAATATGTAAGATCCTGCTTGAAGTATTCGGACACCTTGTATGATTGCAGTTGTACCCAGATCCATAACATGTCTACCAAAGTAGGGATTCAACAGAGGAGTTGTTTATCCTGCAATAAACTATAAAAATGTATTGTGGTGCATAAAGATATTTGGTTTAGTTCCAAGCATGAAGCCATAAGCAGTCAGCCGTGACCATGAGACTTGTATAAAGCCGGAAACTCAAGTTTGTTTGAAAAACTATATATATACCAATCTAGATCCGACAAAAAAAGCTTCATTTTAAGAATTTTTGTACTATTTTCTAATAACCATTACAAGTACTGGTACTCTGTTCACTCCTCACAATAAATTCAATTAAACAGAACTTTATTCATCAAACACATATATTAATAGAAAATTGCATGACATATTATGTACTAATAAAACTATGAACCAGAGTGATGAAAAGAAGGAAGCCTCAGCATAGTGCTGTTTTTCTGTCTTCGCCTGTGTAAAACAAGCATAAAAAGTGTTACGAGTAGTTACTTAAGTGGCCTTACCACTGCATAGTTAATACTTCTTCAAAGATTTAAACTATCTTCAGTAAGCGGACACCCTCTGAACACTAACTAAATAGTAAACCTAAACTTGAACACAATTGAAATATGAAGCAGTATAATGATATCTGAATTTGAAGAATGCATTCCATGTACACAACCATATGCATCATTACAAATTAATATAATCACATGCCCAAAAAAAGAGGCAATTCTCTAAAAGACAATCTCCTACAGGTATTACATTCGTCTGGAGCATACCAAATAATTTGATATTATTTATTCATGAAAAACTCACAGGACATTGGCGAAACCGCCATTTTTTTTGTATAATTTTTATAATAACACTAAACTACCGTACATAGTTATTTTTACTTGACATTGGCAAAATCATTGATTATTTCGATGGGGCCATAACATTTAAAAGAAGAAGAATATATTATTCATTAGGTATGATTAGCTGCAGTGACCCTGGAATGCACAAATAAAGAAATACCACACTAAGAAAACATACACACACACAGAATCTGGTGCAGAATCACATAAACCAATCCTAATTCAATATTCGCAGTTGCATTTGTGTGGAATCTATGTATGAACATTGACTAACACAGACAGCACCAAACATTGTAGCAAGCCAGGTGTTAGGTCGGAACATATTATAAAAGTTGGTAATGGCTGGTCTAATGGTAAAATGCTGATTTAATAAGCACATGTCAAACCTCAAACTAAGCGAGGGCTGAGACTCGATGAAGCATGACATTTCTTCACTATATATTCAACAATACTCCCTTATGAGTAATATAATACTCATTCCTGGGTATTATTATTATAATTAGATTGCTTTCATTAAGAGTCGATTAGTATCAACTCTTTAAGTAGTCCTCAGCTATGATTCAAATTTTTCCCATACTAATACGGTTCATTTAGCTGTGGTTGCGCGGCAAGACCACTGACTTTATTTCAGAATTTATTTTTTACAAACGAAATTAATGCCAAAAGATCTGTTGTGATCAGTAATGACAGTTTGGAGCCAAAGTAATCAGCATTAAAGAACTGAAGGATTTTCATGGCTCTGACAGCTTTTAAGTTCTCTGTGGTCTGTGCCCTCCCAGTATGGTAATAATATAATAATAATAATAATAACGCACACACTCAACATAGCCCCACACTACGGAAACCCTTTGACGCGGGTGCCATGGACACACACATTGACAACCACAAATTACACCCAAATCCACAAGAGAAATAAATGTAGGCCATGCAAATATTTGACCCAGCCCGGGAATCGAACCTGGGAGGACCTCTGCGTGGCAGTCCGGAATGGTAACCGTTTGGCCACGGAGGCAGTACATTGGTACTCCACACATCTATTAGGTAAGGAGAGGCAAAGGATTGCTATCCGCCCAGTGACAGAATCTAGGTAACTAAAAAGTAAAACCCCTCACTCCTCAAGCATATGGTCCAACCAAAGGTGGTTAAGATAATGAAATATGAACATGCTACTATTCTTTAATTTAGTTGGTACTGGCTCATAGATGTATTTAGCGATGATAACAATAGATTATTTGCTATGACGAAGCCTTAAGGCCCTGAATAAGCCAATTTAATAATGATGGCAAGGTATGCTGCTTGATACAACATGCGTCTTTCACCAATTCTGGAAAACCGAGTCTCTGACCCTGACAAACTAACCCACTGCCAGTGAATGCAGCCTCTCGCACTTAAAAACCCAAAATAAAATTTTAGGATGTGGGAAAATTGAGCATCTATAGATGTATTAAAAATGATAATAATAGTGAGAGAAGTTTGTAAGCATGCACCCCACATCAGTTTCAAAAACTTTTTTTAAAATCTATTTTTATTGAGATTTTATGGGGATGATTTAAAGACCCCTAATATAAAAGAATTTATTCATTGGAATGTGACCAGAACACAGTCTAAAAGTCGATATATTTCCTTGCTATATTGACAGAATCAAACCAGGATACCCACTGCGGATTACCCTGGATGGTTCTGTACTATATTCCAAGGCCTTTATCCACCGACTTTTCTCTGAAATGATATTCCCATTTTTCTAGAGTTCTTTTCTTAATTTTTGGAATAATCTTGGTGGCATAAGGCCTACAATCAAGTACAGTACCATTTTCAGCATCTGATTTTGCAAGGACATCAACTTCTTCGTTTCCATGCAATCCTTTCAAAAACTTAAATTGTCAAACCTCATTAGCAAACTGATAATGACGACCTCTCACGAGTCTAATTAATGATATTTAATTAAAACAACATTAATGAATTATCATCATCATTAAAAATGAATTAGGGATACATAAAGCATTTTAGCAAGTTTAACTAATTGTGTTATTTAACAAATTCACATTATGTCCCTCAAAAAGATACGACACAATGGAATAACATTTGTTGGAGTTTCAATATGTTGTTTAGCAAGTTTTTCTATTATATGAACCTTATCCAATCAGGATTTCTAATAAATTTTTCTATCTTAGTTATTTGTTTGTCTCCGGAGTCATTTACGGGCTGGTATACCTCAGTAATTATCCATTTTATGTGACTTGCATATTTCTTCAAAGACCTAATAATCTGCGAATCTCAGAAAAACTTAACCAGAAACATATAGTACGCTTCTAGTTCCATGTATGTCGAATTTTATATACATAAGAAGCAATGCCTTGTGATAGCTAATAGGTACTTATAAAGATTGTGAGAATTTTTGCAGAAAATATAATTCTAATAATAAAGGCTCTGTAAAATGTGCACAGATGCAAGAAAATATTGGTTGAAGAAAATGTTAAAAGATCTGTAAAATAAATTTTAAATGATATTTTTACGCTCACAGGTAAACGGCCTTGAAATCAGCTGTTACAAATGAATTAATTTTTTAACAATTCCATAATTTTAAGAAAAGTGTAATAAAGCTTGAGCATACTCGTAGAAGGTGAGTGTAGAAGTTTATTATAGAAAAAAAATAAAACAAAAGTTACCGGCGGCGTCGTCTGCCGGCTCGCGTTGTTGGTAAACAAATATCATATGATCGCGCGATCAGTATGTCGTAAAATAATTTATACACACTACAAATATATTCCTCTACAAAATATAAAAAAATCAGCTGAAAATAACCAAAAATGAGCGAGATATTTCCTTAAAACTAGATTAGAAGTGGTCTTTTGCTGCCTAGAAAACACCATGTGCGAATATCGCGCCAAAATTTGACGTTAACTTTTCGACACGTGTTTTGGAACGTGTACATTTTTTACAGAAGAAAATATGGATATTCAAGCTAAAAATACTCGAATTGCAACCCTTTGTGCGTTTTATATTATTTTGTAAACCCAAATAAATATTATTTCAGCCAAATTAACGCCCCTAGCGGTGGCAATACGTAACACAAAACACATAATGGCCGCCGTACAGTAGTTACGATGACTGATACCTAAATGCGCAAAATACTTACACATTCCTCCTCTTTTTCCATTCCAGAGGGCATCTGAGGTACAGCACGATTTATCGCCGAGTAGTCCGGGAGGTCCGGAAGCTCCTCGGCGAGGTATATGGGCATTGGTTTCGACGCATCCAGGGCCCTCGCCCTAAACGAGAGCTTCGACATTTTGTTGACAGAACAAAACACGCTAGCGTCGACACAAAAATGCACTCATAAAACACTTTATAGCTCCTCTAGGAAGTCCCAAAGGACCGCAAATTGCACTTTGCACACTCTAGTTCGTTCCCATGATTAATTTTTGCACGCACTCAGTCACAATTAATGAAAAACAATAACGAAAATTCACATATTGAGCGTACTTTACAGAAAGCCATCATGGCGGCTTTCCGTTTGGCGGACGACCATGACCAACTTCCACCTCGAACGACGTGCGCGGGAAGGAAACACGCGGGAACCACAGCGATGTTTTGTGTACTTTTAAATATTATAGCATTCATTGATAACATCATATAGCATTTTTCAATCACAATAAAAATAGTAAAAATTATTAGTATAAATTGTTATGACTGCGTGATAAAATTATTAATATAAAATTATAAAATACTGAAATGACGTCGAACACTAGCTGTCACACTATAGACAACTACAAGTTTATTTTTAAGTTTCGTTACACGCAGGTATATTGAATAACAAAAACGAGATTGTACTATAGTAAAATAATACAATTGTATTATAATAAATTAAAATTACTTAATTTTGTTATGGAATTTAGAATCTGATTTAATAAAAATGGCTCTTAAACAAAATGAGGTACGCATTTCGTTCATTATTTAATCATAGACAACATTATTTTTTTAGAAAAGGAAGCACAAGTTTTCATTTAAAAATTATATTTTTAGGAATTGAAATTACAACATAATATTTTTAAATCTTCTAAATGTATAACATTAGAGCGATCAATCATTAATAATATTTACAGTTGATTCGATATGCTTTTCTATACATTTACAGGCAACGGCGGACTTGGACTTCACGTGGATAAATTGATATTATAGTAAAATGCACTTCTATACACGTTGCCATTTAATTAGATACTACATAAGTAGTTACCACTCATAATTTAATTACGTGATTAGTGTAACGATAGCCCAAAAATTACTTGAAACTACTAAGTATCTACTCCTATGAGCAGACTCGTGTCTGGTATTGATATATTTACAGTACTGCTTGGATAGAACTTCCAATACTTATATAAGTAGTATTTGTTTCATGTTGCAAAACCATTCAGTTTAAATATATATTCTGCATTAAAAGTCGAACAAAAGCGGCAATATGTGGTATAATTATTTCTATACACGACCTGACCCGTGATGTAGCGTGGGGGGTGCAGAGGGGGTCATGGCCCCATGCTGCACAACAATGGAGGCGGCGAGCGCGGCCGAGCCTTAACTAGACAAAATTATTTATTTATTTTTTATTATATATATTTTTTACTTAAAATTCAACTAAGTATTTGAAACAACGATATTCTGAACAACACAAAGGTGGCGATAGCAGATGAGCACAAAAACACAATTGAGGCAAGCCTGCCTGACCGAACCACTTTCGTAGTCATGAAAATAAAGGGGCAACACATTTGAGGTTGATCCCGGACGGTAGAAACCGATGCTACGCCATTAGACCTAAAAGGGGGCATTCATTATCTTGCATTGCAGTCCGCCTTGCCGTTGACAACTCGGCCAGTCTAGGCGCCGATCAGCAGGCTGTATAGTCCATATATCTCTTTACATCGACAAACAATGTTTGTATAAATTTGCTGATGGCGTTTTTTTTCTAATAACTAGTGAAGAAATAAAAGCAAAAAGTATTTTTATTATTATTTATTTTATTGCATTATTTGTATGTATAGCAGACAGATATTTGAATCCATGAATTTAAATGGTGCCGTATGTCGATTTGACAGTGTTATACTTTTCAGTGCATCTTTGATTGCAAGTAAGTTTTCCTTTACAATATGAATAAGTTGATTAAAAATACCTACTTACGAATAAAAGGTCTATTGCATAGGTATAGCTATTTTCATTATCTATTGAATTTAAAAATATGCAACTTATGTAGGTTAAACTTTAGAACCACCAGAAATATTGAACACATTAATAAATTCATTTAATTACAAATGTTTAACGTGTTTATGTAAGTAATAATGAAGTTCCAAGAAATAATAAATATACTTAAAGTCAACCCTACGCTACCCCACACGTTGACTGATAACATTATTCTTACAGGAATGAGAATCGAACAATTTGTTGTTCTGGACGGCAGGTTCATTCTAAGACGTATATTATTATGTTTTACTTAATGAGCATAGTGCCAAAAAAGCGGTTGAGCTATACGTTAACGTTTAACTGCCTCCATGGCCGAACGGTTACCATGCCGGACTGCCACGCAGAGGTCCCAGGTTCGATTCCCGGGCCGGGAGAAATAGTTGTATGGCCTACAATTATTTCTCTCGTGAGTTTGGGTGTAATTTGTGGCTGTCTATGTGTGTGTCCATGGCACCCGCGACACAGGGTTTTCCCTAGTGCGGGGCTATGTTGAGTGTGTGCGTTATTTATTATTTACGTATAAGAGCGCTTGCACACGGCGTATCATAAACGCGCCGTAAACGCGCGTCACCTGCGCGTATACGCGCCGCAGACGCGCTATAGTAAATCTTTTTTAACAGACTTCAAAAGAAAGGAGGTGGTTCTCGACTGTATGTTTTTTTGTACGTATGTTACGCGATAACGCATTTGTAAATCGATTTTGATGATTCTTTTTTTAATTAAATTTTTATTGAATTGATATTCAATTATTTTTTGTGAAATTACTCCACTAGTTTGTTATAATTATTAATACAAAGATCGAACTTTCAGAAAAAATTCCTTCGATCCGGTCGGATTCGAACCGACGTCTTCTTGAATACCGTGCTAGACGCTATACCAACTAAGCCACGGAACGAACCAACGGACCTTATGAATTTTTCTATGTGCTTGCGTCGTGTCTTTGTACTTGGTCTTTCAACGACTTTTTAGTCGTAGCGTCATCTATGAGAAATCTATTGCAGATTTATCACCCAGTTAGTACCTTTACAGCTACCAGTCCTGGCGAGAGATGTCGCTATTTATTGTATTAATTAAATTTTTATTGAATTGATATTCAATTATTTTTTTTTGTGAAATTACTCCACTAGTTTGTTATAATTATTAATACAAAGATTATTTTCTTGTTAGAAAGAGTGTGCCTTAGATGTGGTCCAATTTGAAGAAAATATTCCATCTCTAAAGGCAACTAGGGATGAATGACTTTTGACCTCGGTTCTTTTTTAGTAAACTAAACAGAACTTTAGGCAATTATAATATCAAGTGACGGGACGAACAAGTCGTGCGCCTGATGATAAGCTACACGCGTGTCCATTACAGTTGCAGTGCCACTCAGAGATTTAAATCGCAAAGATCTGAGAGGCAATGCCACTGCGCCTGTCACCCTGAGACATAAGTTGACAAGTCTCATGTGCCTAATTTCACCAGCACCCTTACCCTTCAAAACCGGAACACAGTAATGCATCGATTCAATCGTGCGCAAACATCGCGTTGCAAGCAAGAAGGTTGTAAAGAATTTCATGTTGTTGCTTAATTTCGAAAATTAATTGAAATTAACAAACAAAACTAAAATTATCTCATCAAATTGCGCGATACATACCGTGCGTTGTGGGAACGTATAAAACACGTCGTGTGTATACGGTCTAAGATCACTGGTTTCAGCAATTACTCTTGTTGGCTATACCCGCGAAGCGAATTATTGCGACTCTAGCATAACAAACTATGTAAATTGTGTAAAGCACAAACTAGATACGAGCCAAAAAAAAATAAGTCACGCATCTTCCGGTGAATTCTCACGCAGTCTCGAAATACCCGCAGAGACTATGTTTTAGCTAGTTTGTGGGGTCGGTGCCCTCACTTAGGTGTCCACTATTTGTACTAAGTGCTAACAAATAGTGGAAACCTATTACAAGCGATGTCACAGACGCGTACCGTACCGACACGTACCTTCCACAATTTTATTGTCAAAATGTTCATTATGGTATGTATAATATTGTTACAAAAATTTGCGTTAAAACAAGATTGTTGGCCGCGAAAAGTGAGGTTCGCTCCAATTAACGGAGATAAAAATTTAAATTAAATTAATAATTTTGTATTTGGAATGTGCAGGAGGGCTGATGGTTAATCGGAGTTCCCATCGGAGGACAGGGAAAAAACCGGAAAAGGTAGTGTAGGACGCATTGCGGCAAGACGAGAAACAGCCGGCCGCTGCTGTATGCGGGCAACCCAGGACCGGGAGAGTTGGCGTGCTCAAAGGGAGACTTATGTCCAGTAGTGGATGAGTGTAAACTGATACCTGAATGGGAGCTAACTATAGAGGCGGAAAGAATTTCTTTTTCTATAATTGAATATGAATAGTATGTTCTATTTTGAACGCGTAAATATGTATCTACATTGCAGTGCACTAAATAGCTTTAAAAAAAACTTCTTCAGCGATTTTAATCATGTTTTATTTAAAAGAGTGCATTAACTACGAAAGGGCTAGCTTAAAAAATTAAAACCATTTTCCGGAAAAAGTGAGAAAAAAGTAAAATAAAAAAAAACTAAATGTACTCTAACCATTGTTAAAAAATTTATTGTTTTCAATGACTTAAAATAAGTGTAATTTTATTCTAAGATATAATTATTATTTGAATTTTTAGCAAATATACATTTTTATACTAATAATAACTATTTTAACAAGAAAAAATATAGTGTTCAACATTTTCTTTTTGATGACAACAATTCAGATAAATTATAAAAAAAAAATGTACAAAATCTGCTTTTCATAAAATAAAATTATCATTCGTTCTTCGAAACTGAGTGACACATAATTTAAATACGAAATTATAACTTTTTTTATAAAAAAAAATCGACCGTAAAGTTTGTGGATTTACATCTATTCGCCAAGTGTTCGGCGACCGGAAAGTGGGTAAACCCAATTTGCCTCCCTTAGAGGTGGTGTATTTTCTTCAAATTTGAATGGGATCACTACTGAGGTACTCTTTTTCTTACATAATAAAAGAATGGTCGAAATCGGTGCACAAATGCAAGAGTAATCGCGTAACATAAAAAAAAATATAGTTCCATTAAAAACCTCCTTTTTTCAAGTCTGTTACAAATAAAAATTGTAACCGACGCCACTATAACCACTGAGAAATGCTGAAGTAAAGGGTCTCATTCCATTCCTTGGCACTATTCAGCAACGCCTAGCTAAAAATAGCAACACCAACGGCGGACCACGAATGACTCGTGATAGCTAGCTCGCGTTTGATGTGACAAGGGTGCTGATAGTGATGGTGACAAACCTGGGTCAACCTGAATCGGGCATTTTATTTGAAACGTATATTGTTTGTTGACGTCAAAAAGAAAATATTTTTGTTCAACTCCGTATTATTTTGCCATTTGCTAATAACAAATAAGATTGTATTTATTAATTCGGTTACTTTAAATTCAGTTATGCAAATGTATAAATAGAAAAAGTTACATAATACATGCTGAAATTTTAATAGTTACATTTCATCGTAATTTTTTTGGATCTTCGATTGAAGTTTCCGTCATTATACATTGCATTGCAGAGTAATACACGTTTTAACGTGTATTACTGTACAATTTTAATAATTCATTTAATTTTGTTTGCAAGATTATGAAATTAATTTATCAAGTCTGGGCAGCAACACCTATTACAAACGCATTACAGGCTGACTTATTTTCGTGACACAAGATAAGTACTTAAAAAAAATGTACAAAGTTTCGAGGCTCTCAAATTTCAGCCCATATTTTACATAATTTCAATAAAAAAAAGGCAATACTACAATATGGTTCCTAATTAAGATTTCTGTGTGTAATATAAATTAACATAAATGTTTGTAAAAGTCACAGCTAAAATAATACCTAAATAAATAATAGAAATAAAAAAAGGATTGTTGTGTAAAAATAGCATTAAATTAATTTCGATCTCATTGTTTGCGAGGGGAAAAATCATTCACGATCTATTTAAAAAAAGACGGTATTGTTATTTTCGTGTATAGATAAAATGCAAAGGAAAAGTATAATTACGATTTTACGATAATTCCTTTGTTAATGCAAAATATTTTGAGTATCTTTTACAATTACCTAACTTGTTTGCTATTTATTATTTTAATTTATCTCGTCTGAAATAAACATTTTTTCGCAATCTTCAGCGCGAGTTAGTAAACGAGCATTCGTTATTATTGAAGATGCATCACTACAGTTTGACCTTTGAATTTAGGTTTACAAAAGTGCAAAGATGGGCCCGAGTTTTAACCCGGCGCTTTGTTAATGCCTGGTTTCAATCGGGTTAAAACTCCTTAATGCCCGAAATCGAGGGCAAAAACTATTTACACCTATGTTTGTTGTGAATCGAGTTTTGTTTAAATTTCATGACATTATTACAAAATTTTTATTGCTTTCTTGTCCGGTCGATTCGGTTTGTCTTTATATTGAATCGATTGAATGAAATAAATCGATCCCAAAAGTCGTTAAATTGTATGAATCGATTTTCATGAAAATGGAATCGTAATGTGCATTCTTAGTAGTGAGAATCCATAGGATTGCAAGGCGGGTATTGTCTGGAGACGCTTCTTATTCGCCTATAAAAGATATTTTTATTGTAATCGCTATTTCTGCCTACGATATTGGGAAAAATGGATTAAAACCCGGGTAAAAACTCGGGCGGTATTATTGGGTTTTAACCCACTGCCAATCTCTGATCTGATCTCTATTTACTACCAATGACTAAAAAAATAAATAGCAAAATCCATACCACGAATTTACGTTTCGTTTTACGCAACATACTCTTCTATAAAGCTTGGAATCACATACAATGTTATACAAGACACGCGTTGAGCAATATCCAAAGTGTTTGGAAGGTGTATTTAAGGTATTTTTAACACTTCTCCTATAAATTATGCAATAAAGAATTTAACCCATTCAGGAACAGCGTTCACCGTGAAATGAACTGAAATACCCCATTTAGCTATTTGGATCAGTAAGATTTCCAAAGAGAAGGCGAACCGACCAATAAACTGAGCACTTCATTTGGGTATTGTTGGTGACAATTCACTTATTTACGTATCTGAACACCTATCACCAGCTAACAAGACCTTACATGCTGCCACTAGAGCCAAAGCTAAACAAATATCATATAAATTTGTATGGGTAAACATTTGTAAGAAGCTGAATATGTTGGATATTTAAGAATCTCATTTTTTTTATGTATGTGAAACATGATTTCTTTGTATTGTTTTAAAGTGCAATTTATTTATTATGTTCAATAGTCTGTTAATTTGTAAGCATTTATTTCGCAAATGCCATGCATGGCTGTCATAGGAATAATTTACTCATATTGTAATGTATGTTAACTTTAAGCATCTTAAAAAATAGATAAATAAAATAAAAGGCTTTATAGCGTTCTATGTGCGATACTTTTTAGTGCTGTCCATGAAAGGATTAATTTTTCATTTTAGCTAGTGCAAGTGAAGCTGTCAACAAGAGTTGTACTTTAATATCGATGATCAATGATTACTAATCCAATGTAAACAATCGACTGCCATAAATTCACACACCACCATGAAGAAATACACGATAATGAACTCAATCAATTAATAGCAGGTTTATTTCTTGTGGTTGGTAATAAATAACCGTAAGGTTGTTTCCGCGACCTACAAACAAAAGAAAGGTCATAAGTATGGCTTTCGACTGCGTGCAGTTATATGTAAAATACTAAAAAACTGTCGGCATAGTGTCAGTAGTCAAGGTGGCGTTTCGGTGGTCTCTGTCCACTCCTTCCGAGGGCGTGAGCTTTATGTATGTATGTACTAACAAACTCGCAACCTCGTAAGGGACATTTCGTCGTAAGGGGCATTTTGTCTTAAGGAACATTCTGTCGTAAGGGACATTTTGTCGTAAGGAACATTTTGTCATAAGGGACACTTTGTCGTAAGGGACATTTAGTCGTACGCAAAATGCGGGAAAATGTCCCTTACGACTTTTCAAATTTACATTGTCGATATGGTCCTGGGAGGTTGTCAGTGTTTATCGATATACAACAAATTATAAATAACTATAGTAATATTACTGATAGTTAGTATTACTTTTCATGGATAAGAGTAGGGATAGCATGCGTCCGGATTTGTCCGGACATATCATGACATGACCTGTCCCGATTCGACATTTATCTGGATTTTTCGGCTTAGTGTAACAATTTCCAGAATAGAAAATAAGACATACACCTTGCAATTTTATCGTTAAACCCGAATGTTGTTGCCAGCTTGTCCCTTGAACTTTCAAGCGAATGTCAGGCCTTATGACCGGACTATTAAAATTTCGGAATGGTACCCTAGATAAGAGTCAATTTTACAAACTATCGACAAGCGTACACCAAAAACTAACGTCATTGTCACAACACTAGCGTCCAATCAAGCGATATAGAAGAGTATAGTGCGACATGAATGTAAATAGTGATAGAATCAGCTCTGTTGGGAATCTTCCGATTGGGTGCTGCGGCAATCGCCTCGCGGCGCGACTTTGCACGGTTTGATGTTCTTGCCCACGAAGATTTCTACCTCCTGTAATTAGAAACATATTATGGTTTAATCGTAATAAACGAGATGCGGTATGGTGCCGTCCGCTAAATATAATATACTAAAAGTAAGAATAATACTAAAAGCCGGCAAGTGACAAAACAATTTTTTGATATATAAAAAAACCATAACCCTTTTAGAATGTTCAAATTGTTTAATGACATTTCGGCTATGCATCGTTAGGGTAAGTTCGGATAAGTCGAACACGTTAACTGATTTTAACTGTTTTTAAAAGAGCATTTTGTAATCTATCTTTTGCTATACAAATATTTGACTATTTGTCACCTAGTTACGTTTTAGTCAATCGACGCAGACCAAGTCAAAGACCTAGAAGTGTAACTTTATTTATATTTAACGTCGTCATATTTCAACTTTGTTTATGAATAATAATAATAATAACTGTATTCACTCTCATTATAAAAAAAAATTAAAACCTTTGCGAGAGTCTGGTCGTACTACAATTCCCTGTATGACGGGTCACCAGACCCTCGCTGCTACAGTTGAAGTTAATAAAAATAACATAGATGAACACTGTGAGTTAAATATAGTAAATTAAAAGGCAAAATAAAGTCAACCAAATAGTAATGTCAGCATTACTGTGTTCCTGTTTTGAAGGGCAAGGGTGCTGGTGAAATTACAGGCACATGTGACTTGTCAACTTATGTCTATGGACAGGCGTGTAGCTTAGCATCAGAGGCACAACTTGTTGGTCCCGTCACTTGATATTATAAATTGCCTAAAATTCTGTTTAGTTTTTATTATCAATCATTCCTAATTTTATTTTTAATAATGTAGTTAGTAAAGTAAGCACATAGTGCCCTCGGAATGTTGCAGTGCCCTCACGGGTTGTTACATGTCAAGTACCATTAGCATAAGAACACCTGTTATTAACCATGCAACTTACAAATAAATAATATGAATATGAACAAAAAATAAAAACTACTGCAGCAACACCGAGACAAAGAAAACTACCGGGTTAGTCTCGTCTTGATCTTGCATTTGGACAACAAGAAGACTTTCGTTTAAATAATAGTTTTAAAAAAAACGTACTTTATATTTATGATAACTGAAGCGTGTCAATGATAATTTTATATAAATTGAAGGAACCCCCTACTTATACATATCGTTGAGTTGCATAAATTTTACGAAAGATTTATGGAATTAAAATGACGTTTATAAAAACATTAAAAAATTGCAATTATGATAATATTTGTTCTTTTAAAATCGAGTTGCAATAGTAGTTTGAGTCTCAATAGTGTCATTGGAATGGCTGTGATGGCATTCATTCATCCATTCAATCACTAACAATCGATGTTGCCTTACTAAAACCACTACGGAAATCACTATGGATATCTTAAATTTTTACCTCGTTTAATCAGCAATAGTCTTCAAATAAAAAAAAAAGCGAGTGTGGATACTTAAGTCGAGGGTAAAATGGGTTCTATGAACGAGTTATACACTCTGCTTTTCACTTCGATTGCGAGGAAATTAAACAGCAATATTACAAATAAAGGATTGTTTAATTAAAATTGAATGTAAAATTACAACAATTAGACATTTTATGTGATGGTTTTTTATTTTATGCACTAGAGCATAAAATCCTATTTTATGCAGCCTACACTCAGCATAAATACGAACTTTAAGAGCATGAGAAGTGAAAAATGAACAGTAATACTCCACCCAAGCATTTATCTAACTTTTGACAGCTCGGATTGTAATCAATTAGTGATGTCCTAATGCGTTTCCGATTCGATTTTTTCATAACAATCGATTTTATTTATGAAGAAGGTTTAATTGTTGGTTAATTGCCTCTGTGACCGAACGGTTACTATGCCACGCAGAGGTCCCAGGTTCAATTCCCGGGCCGGGAGAAATATTTGTATGGCCTACATTTGTTTCTCTCGTGAGTTTGGGTGTAATTTGTGGTTGTCTATGTGTGTCCATGGCACCCGCGATCCAGGGTTACCCTAGTGCGGGGCGATGTTGAGTGCATTATTATTATTAAATGTGAATGTGAGCGGGTTAAAAAAGACGATATTGTCTGATTGGAATCGTGGTTATTGCGTTTGACAATTTATGCACTCAAGAATTAATGTTAATGAGGATTCAAGTGATGATTCCCGTTCACATGGAGAAGGATACGATGATCAATTATAATAAACAATAAGAAATTAGTATAATTATGTATAATTTATTTAATTTAATTATAATTTATTAGACAAGTACCAAAATTTATCAACCTGAATAATCTTCGTTACAATATCGGTTGGCTCGATAAATATCGGAGCTAAAGAGCACGTCCCTTCACTAAAATTAAAAATAAAAGAGTCCAGGAATTATTGCATTTTTTGTCTATGGTGGTACGTCAATAATTACGGAACTTCGGAGGCATGCACATGTGAAAAGTAAAATAAATGATTGGACGGAGTATAGATAGCACTTGGTGCCTCGCGTTGAGCGCGATGGTTTTAGTCATCAACGGGTTATGTCCAATTTTAATGCAAACCATTTTAAACGTGATGACTAACACAATTTGAATCAGCCGTGATGATGAGACTTGTAAAGTCTTATTTATATTATCTTTTCTATTTTGTCAAAAATCTTTTTGGGTTATTCCCATCTGATCATCTAAAACCGATCCCCTGGGGAACTGTATATTTTATATTATTGTCTATTCCCAAGATCAAGGGTATCAAGAGTTAATTATTCATATTTTATTTCCACCTGATACTCAGGTACTTACAAGTTTATTTTTGGTAGGTACTGTAGTACAGTTAACAAGAAAATATATTTGAGGGTTGTATTGTAATTTAATTAGTTTATTATGTACGTGATAATTATAACATTAAACTTAGATTTTAAATATTACGACAGACTGATTATTGTTACTTGGGATTTGCAATGTCTTAATATGCACCTTACAAGTACAATGAAGAGATCCGTTGGGAATTGCAAAATATAGAGGGAATCAGTTGGGATTTAAAATTGGCAGTGGATCAGTTTAGGGGATCAGATGGAAATTACCCCTTTTTTTACCGAATATCTTTTTGGTTTTTTTAATATGAAAAATCTTTTTGGTTCTTTTATAAAAAATCTTTTCGGTTTCTTTTTACGAAAAACGTTTTTGTTTCTTTTTAACCGACTTCAAAAACAGGAGGAGGTTCTCAATTCGACTGCATGTTTTTTTTGTATGTATGTTACGCGATAACTCCGTCCATTTGTGAACCTATTATGATGATTCTCTTTTGTTACCCTCTTTGGGTACCTCAGAGATGGTCCCATTTAAATTCGAAGAAAATATTCCACCTCTAAGGGTGGCAAACCAGGGGATGAATGACTTTTGAGGTTGGTTTTTTTAAATCAAAAAATTTTTTTGTTGGATCGCTGAACTAGCCAACGAATACCTGGCTTCCTTCGATGCCCATCTGGTTGTCCTGCTCGCGGCTGGTCCCCGGCGTCGAAGTGCGCGCAGCCAACTGCCGCTCGCGAGCCATGCGTCTGCAAATCACACACACTGCTGAATATAGGTCTCAACGCAGACTGTAACACATCATCATCAACCCATTTACACGTCCCACTGTTGGGCACGGGTCTTCTCTTATGCGAGGGTTTACACACGTCTGGATTTCACACGTTTAGCAATGAAGCTTCTTCGACGTGCAGGTTTCATTACATTTTCCTTCATCGAAAACTCATGAGAAATATCAAATTAAATCTCACAGGTAAATTGCGAAAAACTCAAGAAATGCGAACCCGGAATCGTACGCCGTATCGCCACGTCATGTTTATAATATTTGGAGTATAAAAACAATACAAGGCGGTTATTTTGTCAGAGATCATTATCCTGCATAAATCATGAGACTGAAAAAAACATTTTTTTTTTTACAAGAAATGTCTTTTTTGTAGTGAATGAATTGTTTTTTGTTATATGGAATGTGTAATAATAATAACGCACAAACTCACTAGGGAAACCCTGTATCGGGGGTGCCATGGATACACACGTAAACAACCACAAATTACATCCAACTCACGAGAAAAATAATTGTAAGCCATGCAAATATTTCTCTCGGCCCAGGAATCGAACCCCAGAACTCTGCGTGGCAGACCAGCATGGTAACCGTTCGGCTACGGAGGCAGTTTACAAGCAGTAATGTCAGCATTACTATATTCCGGTTTTTAAAGGTAAGGGTGCTGGTGAAATTACAAGCACATGGGACTTGTCAACTTATGTCTCAGGGTGACGGGCGCAGTGGCAGTCCTCAAAGATCTTTGCGATTTAAAGCTCTCAGGACACTGCAATTGTTATGGACAGGCGTATAGCTTAATATCAGGCGCACGGCTTGTTCGTCCCGTCACTTGATATTATATATCGACGCCGGAAAGCGATCTTGTCGTATCTCGAAAAATAGGACTTTACACCAGGGCCGAAAAACTATTTCAAAA